AAGTGTTTAACAGAATTTAAATTCAATAGCCTCCAAAGATACTATAAGGATTTTACAATAGGTCAATAACTGGGGCTGTCACCTATTGTCCTTTTTGTATTAGCTGGGTATAACAAAAATTTGTTTGTCCTGTACAAGGATTATTAGCTACTAAAACTTAGAAATATCCTAAGATATAATCAGAGGAAAAAGTACTAATAATCAGGCTGTCAATAGCTAAATATGGCTTTAAATTCTAATAATATAAAGCTAGTATATGCTAGCATACTATTCATGAATACAGCTATTACTTTATATTATTTACAAGAAAGAGAAAAACTATATTAATAAAATAATAATTATAAAGCCCAATAAAATAAATATAAATAATCTAATAAAATAAAGTCCAATAAAATATATAATAACTATAAATAAATTAATAAAATAATGTCCAGTAAATATTAATAAGTTGGATCCAAATGGCCAAAAATTTCACATACACCAGTTGTATATAGTAAAAAAAATATCATGTACAACAATGGTACACAGTTAATAATATCACGTACAAGAATTGTACTTAGTTGAAAATATCATGTATAGAGATTGTACACAGTTAGAAATATACGTACAGAAATTGTACACAGTTTAAAATATCACATACAGAAATTGTATACGGCCAAAAATTATACATGTACAGGAATTGTATATGGCCAAAATTTATACACGTATAGCAATTGTATCTAGCAGAAACTTACTGCCTAAAATTCTTGCTTGTAGGAATTACCCTAGAGGAGGAGTATAATATAAGTCTTGCCTATAGGAATTACTCTAGAGGGGAAATATATTAATCTACTGTTTCTAAAATAAAAATCCAAATAATTGCAGAAAATATTATATCCATATAGCCTCAACTTAATAAAGTTGGCTCACACTATGATAATGAAAATAAAATGTCCATTACTATTTTAACTTAGTTAAAATAATTCTAAAACCAGTTATCTAAAAAGAAGAGTCCAAATAATATAGTAATATCCAAGAAAGTATAAAGAAACAACTTGTTTAAAGACAAGTAACAAGTTTATAAAATTTAAGTAAAAGCTTATCCATTGCAAGAACAAGATAGTTGTCAATACTAATCAAGATATTTTTATACTATCTTTTACTATTCTATAGGCCTGTTGACAGAGTTGCTGTTCCTTCTGTTATTATTGTTTCTTTTGTAATTGCTTTTTTTGTTTTAGTTTTAAGAACCTTTTATACTGTTTCTTTTCCCAAAAGCAATAACCTTTTGGTACTTTGTTTTCAAAGAAGAATATCATGGTGGAAAAGAAAATAATAATCACAAGTCAAATATAAGGTCTCAAAAGAAAAAAGAAAATAAACTTAGAGAAAGAAAAACGAAGTAGAGTAGAAATTTTAAACAAAATAGAAAAATCGAAAATTCAAGATATTTATACTATGCTAATAAGGGTTACAATTTAGAAAGAAAATGTAAAGAGACTCTCTACAAATCTAAAGAAGGTGAGAACATCCAAAATGGTCAAGTGGATGGCAAGATATTAAGGGTCAAAGTTTGTGTAATGATATTTGTAAAGACAAAATTTTAAAAAAATTTATAGTAAAGAAAGGAAGTGAAAACTTTGACAATTTTTAGAGCAACAGAGAAGTGTTTTGGTATTAAGCAACTGTATTTACAATAAAAATAAAATAGTTTCCACCAGGGTTTTAAATTTGTTTTTGCCAGGAGGCACCAAGATATTACAGTGATACTTTTAAAGAAGATGTTTAAGAAGAGCAAGAGAGAAGGTTTAAGTAGAAGGATTTATTTACTTGTTTTAGAGACAATAAAGACATTACAAGGTCATTAGAATGAAGAGAATATTGTAGAAATATTTAGAGAATAATATTCTAAAAAGTATTTAACAGTTTCTATTCATTCCTGTACTTTTGTATTAGAATTATCTGGGATTTGTATTTTGGAACTACAGGATTCTGGGTGTCTTTTCTTGTATAAAGCAAAGAAGTACTTGGTGGATTTCTCTCCCTCCTCAATCCACTTGGCATTGAATCTTAAGCACCATTTGTTTGATAATGAGGTTAGTTCTTCTTGTACCTTTAGATTTAGCTCTTCTATTATCAACTTGAGCTCCTCTAAGTTAGGATTCTTCACAATTTTGTTGTTTAATCTATGAATTCTTTTGTGTAGCTTTTGGATATTCGTCTTAGGAGGAGAATTAAGTTTGATAGCTTTTGCTATTAATTGAATAGTGCATTTGTATAAATCCCAATATATTTTGTAGTTTCTCTATAATATTATTTTTAAATTTTGGTATGTTCCAGTATTTTTTATCGAATCTCCATATTGATTTGGAAGAATGTTTAGACATTAAACTAAGCTCACATTCTACTAGTAAGTGATCAGAATTGCCAAAACAAGTATATGTATTTGTACAAAGATGACTGTGACTTGCTTCTATGAAAATATAGTCCAGTCATGTTGCTATTTTCTAATTGCCATGTGTCGTTTGATAGAAAGTAAGAAATGGAGATTTATTGGAAGTTAGAGCTGTGTTAATGTAGTCTTTCATTAGATTATCTAACAGAGCTCTAGAGCAGTCATGTTGTATAGGCGCTTGGCTTATTCTGTTCTTTTCAGAATACAAATTAATATTAAAGTCTCTTGCGATTATACAGATCTTATCAAAGGTAGTTTCTGGTGACCATTTTTTAAAAAAAGTAATTCTGTCTTCAGGTTTTAGAGGAGTATATATATTTGTAAACGAAAATGTTTGCTGCTACGGCCATAGTAATTTTTCTATCTTGTAGTTCTTTTTTGTTCGTGAGTTTAATATCTCTTTTTCCTGCTAAAATTATGGTTTTGAAAAACCATAGAGTCAAAACCCTATGTTTGGGCCAAAAATTTTCTGAAAGCTAGTTCTCTTAAGTTGGTTTCTTGAATCATAATTATGTCTAAGTTGTAAGATTATGAGTGTTTTTAAAGCTTTAGATCTATTGTTTAAACCTTTTACACTCAGTGTAGCAATTTTAATTATAAGATATAGTAAGTAATTAGGGCTATACCAAAAAGGTTTATTCTTAGTGTTAGGATCTAAATCCCAAAGAGTTCTGATGAAAGCTTCCAGGAGTTCTATATAGTTGATATACTAGAGATTGGTCTTTTCTCTTTGCAAACTTTCCTTTTTGTTTCTTAGATGTTATCACAGTAAAAAGCAGTATTGTCACAAAACAGTTATGAATAGTGAGTTTGGATACTTTGAACAATTTTAGACAATTAAATAAATTAAAATTACTCAAAATTTTATTAAGATAATCTATATTACTTTCTAAGTAAAATATGTTCAGCACCTAAAAAAATATATAGTTATAGAATTTTGCTAACCATAACCGCGGTGATCATCACCGCGGTTACATGTACACCAATTTTTATTAAAAATTTATAGAATAATTTATATTAAGTATAATATAAATAAATAATACATTAAAAATGATCTACATTTATTCGGCACACCAAAACCAGTAGGTACACAAAATCAGTATGTACGTACGTATGTATGAACGTACGTACGTACGTACTAATTCGAAGTGGCTAAATTCTACTAATTTTACAAATGTAATTTCCATATACCTATGGGCAGAATTGGTAATAGAGCGAATAGAGCTTAGAAAACTAGTATTCTTTGGCTCTATTTCGGGGCTCCATTGACTTCGGCTTCATTTTGCCCTATTGAGCTTCATCACTAACTCTGATATAAGGAAATTGAAGAATGTGCTTAGTAAAAATTAAAAATCCAATTAGAGTGAATTTTGAAAACTCTGAAAATCTAGAATATATCATGAATGAATCTTTCCACCACCTTAAAACTATATATAGAACTGATCAGTAATATCTAACTTACCCTAATCTTTAAACTGCAATATCTATCACACAATCGATATAAACATAAAACCTAACCTTTACTCAACAATATTGTCTATTAAATAGCATAAAATCTTTATATTCAAGATTTATTACCTATTATAATATTCATTTAACAGCATTTACGTACTAACATAAAGCTTTCCTAACATAGTATGTACATACATTTTAACTTTTAACATTAAAATGAGAATACGAATCTAAAGCTTAAATCTAATTACAAGTATGTATATCTCTAATTTATCTGTTATGTACATATACGTTACAACCACAAACTTACTCTTTAGATTTACATTTTCGAACATTATGATCAGATTTATCACATGCCTTGTATACATATCTACATTTAGCAACATTTTCATTCACAATAAATGATCCATCAGAATTGTTATTATTTTCTTCGTTGAGAGTGTTACCAGCATCAACTTTTTCTTGATCACAAATGTTATTACTATTGGGAATGTGTTCAGAATTTCTGAGTATATATCGTTGTTGTGAAATCTGCATCGAACGTGTATGTTTATTTGCATCTTCATATGTACTATCTTCAGAACTACTGTCATCTATATTATTTTCTGGTATGGATTTTGGTGGGCGCCCACGTCGTTTATGAGGCACAGAATTCAAACCTTTATTTTCTTTATTAGTGATATACAAATTGGGATCTTGTGGATTAATAGCACTATTTCTAGAACTACTATAATGTGATCCCTTTTCCAATGCTGATTTAATATGCTTG